TGACTCTATGATGTCTGCTTGTTGTGACTCTATGATGTCTGCTTGTTGTGACTCTATGATGTCTGCTTGTTGTGACTCTATGACGTCTGCTTGTTGTGACTCTATGACGTCTGCTTGTTGTGACTCTATGACGTCTGCTTGTTGTGACTCTATGACGTCTGCTTGTTGTGACTCTATGACGTCTGATTGTTGTGACTCTATGATGTCTGCTTGTTGTGACTCTATGATGTCTGCTTGTTGTGACTCTATGATGTCTGCTTGTTGTGACTCTATGATGTCTGCTTGTTGTGACTCTATGACGGCTGCTTGTTGTGACTCTATGATGTCTGCTTGTTGTGACTCTATGATGTCTGCTTGTTGTGACTCTATGACGTCTGCTTGTTGTGACTCTATGATGTCTGCTTGTTGTGACTCTATGACATCTGCTTGTTGTGACTATGATGTCGGCTTGTTGTGACTCTATGACGTCTGCTTGTTGTGACTCTATGATGTCTGCTTGTTGTGACTCTATGATGTCTGCTTGTTGTGACTATGACGTCTGCTTGTTGTGACTCTATGATGTCTGCTTGTTGTGACTCTATGATGTCTGCTTGTTGTGACTCTATGACGGCTGCTTGTTGTGACTCTATGATGTCTGCTTGTTGTGACTCTATGATGTCTGCTTGTTGTGACTCTATGATGTCTGCTTGTTGTGACTCTATGATGTCTGCTTGTTGTGACTATGACGTCTGCTTGTTGTGACTCTATGATGTCTGCTTGTTGTGACTCTATGACGTCTGCTTGTTGTAACTCTATGATGTCTGCTTGTTGTGACTCTATGACGTCTGCTTGTTGTGACTCTATGATGTCTGCTTGTTGTGACTCTATGACGTCTGCTTGTTGTGACTCTATGATTTCTGTTTGTTGTGACTATGACGTCTGCTTGTTGTGACTCTATGACATCTGCTTGTTGTGACTCTATGATGTCTGCTTGTTGTGACTCTATGATGTCTGCTTGTTGTGACTCTATGACGTCTGCTTGTTGTGACTCTATGACGTCTGATTGTTGTGACTCTATGACGTCTGCTTGTTGTGACTCTATGACGTCTGATTGTTGTGACTCTATGGCGTCTGCTTATTGTGACTCTATGACGTCTGCTTGTTGTGACTCTATGATGTCTGCTTGTTGTGACTCTATGATGTCTGCTTGTTGTGACTCTATGACGGCTGCTTGTTGTGACTCTATGATGTCTGCTTGTTGTGACTCTATGATGTCTGCTTGTTGTGACTCTATGACGTCTGCTTGTTGTGACTCTATGACGTCTGCTTGTTGTGACTCTATGACGTCTGCTTGTTGTGACTCTATGACGTCTGCTTGTTGTGACTCTATGACGTCTGCTTGTTGTGACTCTATGACGTCTGCTTGTTGTGACTCTATGACGTCTGATTGTTGTGACTCTATGACGTCTGCTTGTTGTGACTCTATGATGTCTGCTTGTTGTGACTCTATGACGGCTGCTTGTTGTGACTCTATGATGTCTGCTTGTTGTGACTCTATGATGTCTGCTTGTTGTGACTCTATGACGTCTGCTTGTTGTGACTCTATGACGTCTGCTTGTTGTGACTCTATGACGTCTGCTTGTTGTGACTCTATGACGTCTGCTTGTTGTGACTCTATGACGTCTGCTTGTTGTGACTCTATGACGTCTGCTTGTTGTGACTCTATGACGTCTGATTGTTGTGACTCTATGACGTCTGCTTGTTGTGACTCTATGATGTCTGCTTGTTGTGACTCTATGATGTCTGCTTGTTGTGACTCTATGATGTCTGCTTGTTGTGACTCTATGACGTCTGCTTGTTGTGACTCTATGACGTCTGCTTGTTGTGACTCTATGACGTCTGCTTGTTGTGACTCTATGACGTCTGCTTGTTGTGACTCTATGACGTCTGATTGTTGTGACTCTATGATGTCTGCTTGTTGTGACTCTATGATGTCTGCTTGTTGTGACTCTATGATGTCTGCTTGTTGTGACTCTATGATGTCTGCTTGTTGTGACTCTATGACGGCTGCTTGTTGTGACTCTATGATGTCTGCTTGTTGTGACTCTATGATGTCTGCTTGTTGTGACTCTATGACGTCTGCTTGTTGTGACTCTATGATGTCTGCTTGTTGTGACTCTATGACATCTGCTTGTTGTGACTATGATGTCGGCTTGTTGTGACTCTATGACGTCTGCTTGTTGTGACTCTATGACATCTGCTTGTTGTGACTCTATGATGTCTGCTTGTTGTGACTCTATGATGTCTGCTTGTTGTGACTCTATGACGTCTGCTTGTTGTGACTCTATGACGTCTGATTGTTGTGACTCTATGACGTCTGCTTGTTGTGACTCTATGACGTCTGATTGTTGTGACTCTATGACGTCTGATTGTTGTGACTCTATGACGTCTGCTTGTTGTGACTCTATGACATCTGCTTGTTGTGACTCTATGATGTCTGCTTGTTGTGACTCTATGATGTCTGCTTGTTGTGACTCTATGACGTCTGCTTGTTGTGACTCTATGACGTCTGATTGTTGTGACTCTATGACGTCTGCTTGTTGTGACTCTATGACGTCTGATTGTTGTGACTCTATGGCGTCTGCTTATTGTGACTCTATGACGTCTGCTTGTTGTGACTCTATGATGTCTGCTTGTTGTGACTCTATGATGTCTGCTTGTTGTGACTCTATGACGGCTGCTTGTTGTGACTCTATGATGTCTGCTTGTTGTGACTCTATGATGTCTGCTTGTTGTGACTCTATGACGTCTGCTTGTTGTGACTCTATGACGTCTGCTTGTTGTGACTCTATGACGTCTGCTTGTTGTGACTCTATGACGTCTGCTTGTTGTGACTCTATGACGTCTGCTTGTTGTGACTCTATGACGTCTGCTTGTTGTGACTCTATGACGTCTGATTGTTGTGACTCTATGACGTCTGCTTGTTGTGACTCTATGATGTCTGCTTGTTGTGACTCTATGATGTCTGCTTGTTGTGACTCTATGAAGTCTGCTTGTTGTGACTCTATGACGTCTGCTTGTTGTGACTCTATGACGTCTGCTTGTTGTGACTCTATGACGTCTGCTTGTTGTGACTCTATGACGTCTGATTGTTGTGACTCTATGACGTCTGATTGTTGTGACTCTATGATGTCTGCTTGTTGTGACTCTATGATGTCTGATTGTTGTGACTCTATGATGTCTGATTGTTGTGACTCTATGATGTCTGCTTGTTGTGACTCTATGATGTCTGCTTGTTGTGACTCTATGACGTCTGATTGTTGTGACTCTATGACGTCTGCTTGTTGTGACTCTATGACGGCTGCTTGTTGTGACTCTATGATGTCTGCTTGTTGTGACTCTATGATGTCTGCTTGTTGTGACTCTATGACGTCTGCTTGTTGTGACTCTATGACGTCTGCTTATTGTGACTCTATGACGTCTGCTTGTTGTGACTCTATGATGTCTGCTTGTTGTGACTCTATGATGTTTGTCACAAAACTTGCAATATATTAAGGATCGCAATAACATGTATTTGTAAACCAAATATCACAGTACTATCGAGTCATATTGTTGCCAATTCTTGCTCCTGGTTTGTATGCTAACATTAAGTATGCTAACGTTTGTATGCTAACATTAAGTATGCTAACGTTTGTATGCTAACATTAAGTATGCTAACATTGAGCATGCTAACTAACATAATGAGCTAATGCTCCTTGTGTTATTACAACACTTCGAACAGTGCAGTTTTGATCAGAGAGAGAACAGAGACAGACCAGAAAGAGAGACCAGAGAGAGACCAGGGAGAGACCAGAGAGACCAGAGAGAGACCAGAGAAAGACCAGAGAAAGACCAGAGAGAAACCAGAGACAGACCAGAAAGAGAGACCAGAGAAAGACCAGAGAAAGACCAGAGAAAGACCAGAGAGAAACCAGAGACAGACCAGAAAGAGAGACCAGAGAGAGACCGGAGAGAAACCAGAGAGAGAGGCCAACGATAGACTAGAAATAAAGACCAGAGAGAGAGAGACCAGGTAGAGGCCAGCGAGAGACCAGAGACAGGGACCAAAGAGAGACCAGAGGGAGACACTAGAGTGAGAGATTTTTTTTACTTGAGAAAAACTTGTTGTAAAGTGGGCACTTGTTCACAGAGCTGCTCCGGAGTTTGTTTATGGTCTGCTCCTCTCCCAGCATGCCTCAGTGGTGGATTACAGGAAGTCCTTCTTTAGACGCTGAATCGATGCAGCGCTGTTTCCCTCCAGCTAAAAATAGATCAGAGCGCGGGGTTTGTGACAGAGCTCAGCTGAGGCGGGTGGAGACAAGAGCACCAGCTGAGGAGAGGCCAGAGAGAGACCAGAGAGAGACCAGAGAGACACCTGAGAGAGACCAGAGAGCAAGACCAGAGAGAGATCAGAGAGAGACCAGAGAGAGACCAGAGAGAGACCAGAGAGAGACCGGAGAGACACCTGAGAGAGACCAGAGAGCAAGACCAGAGAGAGATCAGAGAGAGACCGAGGAGACACCAGAGAGAGAACAGAGGCGGAGACCAGGGAGAGACCGGAAAGAGAAAAAAGAGAGTACAGAGAGACGGAACTGAGAGAGACCAGAGAGAGACCAGAGGGAGACCAGAGAGAGACCACAGAGAGACCAGAGGGAGACCAGAGAGAGACCAGAGAGAGACCAGAGGGAGCCCAGAGAGAGACCAGAGGGAGACCAGAGAGAGACCAGAGAGCGAAACCAGAGAGAGAGACCAGAGAGAGACCAGAGAGAGACCAGAGAGAGACCAGAGGGAGACCAGAGAGAGACCAGAGGGAGACCAGAGAGAGACCAGAGAGCGAAACCAGAGAGAGAGACTAGAGAGAGAGAGAGACCTCTTGCTCTTTATAATTGTTGTTTTTGCTTTTCTCTTAAACATTTTAATTCAGTATAGTGTTTTAAAGCTGTGTCTGTGTTAATATCCACATGTGAACATTGTGTGTTCAGGGAGGAGAAGCCGATCCAGGCTCGGACCGTGAACCTGGTGGGACAGAAGAAGCCTCCGCAGCAGAACGACGTGCGGTGAGTCCTGAGACCTGCCCTGTCACTGGCCCCTTCTCAGATTCAGATTCAGATTCATTTATTTCCCATTTGCAGTAAAACCACATTGGAAAAACTGTGCAAGACTACCTCAGTGTGCACCAGTGTGTCTCCGAAACCGAGTGATGTCATCGTACCTCTATGACATCACGCTCAAAGTATGGCCCATAATTAAGTTTTGGTGATTTCTCAGACGTCCTTTACAATCGCCTCCCTCTGGTGGTGACATAGGGAGTTATAGTTGGACAGAGACGCCAAATACATGATGTGAAAACTAGTTTTAGAGCAGGAACAACACATGGATTTCATAAAGAGCTCTATTGCACACTTGGTGAAATCCTCCAGGTCTGGTCCTGACCAAGCCGAACATCAACATCTGGAGATGGGTTCGCGGGAGCTGTTACCACGGCGACCACTGCTCCTGATGGGAACCTTTTGTGGCATCAGGATGGGTCAAATGCAGAGGATGAATTTCCCTACAGGGATTAATAAAGTGCTCTTTTACCTTTACTTTTATTGTTGTGGTCTGAAAGTTACGTCCCACAGATTTAAGTGGATGAATGTCTGAGTCTGATCGACATGTTTCACTCAGAGTCAGCTCCGTGAGTCAATAACCTTCTCTTTAAGTTGGATCAGTAGATTAGAACCAGGGAGAGACCGGAGAGAGACCGGAGAGATACCGAAGAGAGACCAGAGAGAGACCAGTTAGGGACCAGAGAGAGACCAGAGAGAGACCGGAGAGAGACCAGTTAGGGACCAGAGAGAGACCAGAGAGAGACCGGAGAGAGACCGGAGAGAGACCGGAGAGAGACCAGAGCGAGACCAGAGAGAGACCAGAGCGAGACCAGAGAGAGACCGGAGAGAGACCAGAGAGAGACCAAAGAGAGACCGGAGAGAGACCAGAGCGAGACCAGAGAAAGACCGGAGAGAGACCAGAGAGAAACCAGAGAGACCCGAGATAGACCAGAGATAGACCAGAGAGAGACCGGAGATAGACCAGAGCGAGACCGGACAGAGACCGGAGAGAGAGCAGAGAGAGACCAGAGAGAGACCGGAGAGAGACCAGAGCGAGACCAGAGCGAGACCAGAGCGAGACCAGAGAGAGACCAGAAAAAGACCAGAGAAACACTTAGAGAGACCAGAGAGAAACCATAGGGAGACAAGAGAGAAACCAGAGAGAGAGAGAGACATCTGCATGTTCATCTGCCTTTTGTAAAAGCCGGAGCTTCCCTCCAAATGCCACGTTCCCATTGGTCCTAGCAGCCGGGCGCCATGGGAACCACTCTGCATCCGCACACACTTCCTGTTCAGACCGGAGGGAATTTTGCAGAGGGAGAAAAACAGAGATGAGAGGTCAAAGAGAGAGAGACCAGAGAGAGACTAGAGAGAGAGACCAGAGCGAGACCAGAGAGAGACCAGAAAGAGAGACCAGAGAGAGAGAGAGAGACCAGAAGGACAGCGTAATGAACCGTGAAGCTGTGTTTGGGTGAGTGAAGAGTTTGGGCTGTTGCACGTTCTGCTCTCTTCTTCAGTCAGTCCTGGTCTCTTTCTGGTCTCTCTCTGGTCTCTCTCTGGTCTCTCTGGTTTTGCTCTCTGGTCCCTCTCTGGTCTCTCTCTCTCTGGTCTCGCTCTGGTCTCTCTCTCTGGAATCGTTGGCTCTGTTAGCTGCTAATTATCTCAGTGTTTATGTAAATATACTGATCAAGTTTCTCTCAGATAAATCTGAAAAAAACCAGAAGCAAACTTTTTATCTGTGTACAAGGGAGTAGTAGAAGTAGTAGTAGTAATTCAAGCTATTTCCTCCAAGTCTCTCTCTGGTCTCTCTCTGGTCTCTCTTTGGTCTCTCTCTGGTCTCTCTCTCTGGTCTCTCTCTCTGGTCTGTCTCTGGTCTGTCTCTGGTCTCTCTCTGGTGTCTCCCTGGTCTCTCTCTCTGGTCTCTCTCTGGTCTCTCTCTGGTCTCTCTCTGGTCTCTCTCTCTGGTCTCTCTCTGGTCTCTCTCTCTGGTCTGTCTCTGGTCTCTCTCTGGTGTCTCCCTGGTATCATAGTAGTAGTAGTAGTAGGGTTTTGGGTCAGACATTTTGGCTGGGATGAAGATCAGGGGCAGTATCTTGTGTCTCCTTTAAGGAACCTCACTGAGCGCTGACCTTTGCAGCCGGAGGATGAGGCTTGCGGAGGCTAACTGCTACAGTTGCGCTCAGGACTACAAGCCTCCTCACTCCTTTTGGGAGTTGTAGTTTTTTGGCTTCTCATCCGTTTCACAACTTTATTTTTTCAACATTGATCCTGGGATTATCGCTATTTTTGTTTTTGCATTGATTAATTCTATTTCCTCTAGGTCTCTCTCTTGTCTCTCTCTGGTCTCTCTTTGGTCTCTCTCTGCTCTCTCTTTGGGATCTCCCTCTCTGGTGGTCTGTCTCTCTTGTCCCTCTGTGGTCTCTCTCTGGTCTCTCTCTGGTCTCTCTCTGGTCTCTCTCTCTGGTCTCTCCCTGGTCTCTCTCTGGTCTCTCTCTCTGGTCTCTCTCCCTGGTCTCTCTCTCTGGTCTCTCCCTGGTCTCTCTCTCTGGTCTCTCTCTCTGGTCTCTCTCCCTGGTCTCTTCTCTGTTTTTAAAATCGGTTTCCATCTAACCTGAACAGTTTCTGTGCGATGAACGTTTGAGTTTAGGGTTGGAGGGATTTGAGATTAGTAGTTTTTATGGATCCATGTAGTTTGTAGTTGTTATGGATTTATGGGACGATGGAACTCTCTCATCTGTGAGGAATTAGACTGTTTGATTTTAACTTAATCTGAGAATATTTACACACTACAACTGAATAAGACCAGTGGTTGTGGATCTGGTCTCTCTCTGGTCTCTCTCTGGTCTCTCTCTCTGGTCTCTCTCTCTGGTCTCTCTCTGGTCTCTCTCTCTGGTCTCTCTCTCTGGTCTCTCTCTGGTCTCTCTCTGGTCTCTCTCTGATCTCTCTCTGGTCTCTCTCTGGTCTCTCTTTCTGGTCTGTCTCTGGTCTGTCTCTGGTCTCTCTCTTGTTTCTGGTGTCTCTTGCTTCTGGTCTGAGTGTGTCTCTGGTCTGGTTTCAGGGGGGTGCAGTCCAGTTACCGGGACTCTGTGATTCGCCAGGCCTCAGCAGCTGGTCACCGTGACGACGCTCCGACCTGCGGGATCTGCCATAAGACCAAGTTCGCCTCGGGCTGCGGCAACCTCTGCTCCTACTGCGGCAGCAAGTTCTGTGCTCGCTGTGGAGGGAGGGTCTCTCTGAGGTCCAACACGGTGAGTCCAGGGTCCAGGCTGGGTCCAGGCAGGGTCAGGTAGGGTCCAGGCCGGGTCCAGGCCGGGTCCAGACCGATTTGGATATTAGTATCAACAAATGAACAAACTGGAAAAAATATAATCCAACCTGTATGAGCATTTTAAGACTTGGTTCAGGCCATGTTCAATTATAAAAGGTAATGTAAACAGGTTCAGACTTGGTTCAGTCCTGGTTCAGACCTGGTTCAGTCCTGGTTCAGACCTGGTTCAGTCCTGGTTCAGTCCTGGTTCAGACCTGGTTCAGTCCTGGTTCAGTCCTGGTTCAGACCTGGTTCAGTCCTGGTTCAGTCCTGGTTCAGTCCTGGTTCAGACCTGGTTCAGTCCTGGTTCAGTCCTGGTTCAGACCTGGTTCAGTCCTGGTTCAGTCCTGGTTCAGACCTGGTTCAGTCCTGGTTCAGTCCTGGTTCAGACCTGGTTCAGTCCTGGTTCAGTCCTGGTTCAGACCTGGTTCATGTCATATTGATGCTGTTATGTAATAATGCTGTAATGTAAACAGGTTCAGACTTGGTTCAGTCCTGGTTCAGACCTGGTTCAGTCCTGGTTCAGACCTGGTTCAGTCCTGGTTCAGTCCTGGTTCAGACCTGGTTCAGTCCTGGTTCAGTCCTGGTTCAGACCTGGTTCAGTCCTGGTTCAGTCCTGGTTCAGTCCTGGTTCAGACCTGGTTCATGTCATATTGATGCTGTTATTATGAGCTAAAGGTTAATTGCCTCAGCTCTGGTGCAGACCACAGGGTCCCGGTCTGCAGGGGTCCTGGTCTGCAGGGGTCCTGGTCCGCAGGGGTCCGGACTTGGCCTTCAGGAGACCACGGGACTCATCTGCTCCAACCGCTCTGAGACTTTAAAGAACACCTATCATTAAAACTTAAAGAAGACATCACATGCTTCATTCTCTGCAGATCCACAGCTCCCCCTGTGGTCAGTGTTGTACCTGCGACGTGAATTCAATGTTTTTAACAGCAGTCGTCTCAGAGAACTTCACAAAGTTGTCAATTCACCAACATCAGATTAGAAAATAAAATAGTCCGGCTCGTCACTGTCCTTAGATCCTTCTCCGTCAGAGAGGAACCAATCACTGAGGTTGTAGACCCAGAACTGAGGCTGTAGACCCAGGACTGAGGCTGTAGATCCAGGACTGAGGCTGTAGATCCAGGACTTAATGCTGTAGACCCAGGACTGAGGCTGTAGACCCAGGACTGAGGATGTAGCTGTAGATCTAGGACTGAGACTGTAGACCCAGGACTGAGGATGTAGCTGTAGACCCAGGACTGAGGCTGTAGACCCAGGACTGAGGCTGTAGACCCAGGACTGAGGCTGTAGATCCAGGACTGAGGCTGTAGATCCAGGACTTAATGCTGTAGACCCAGGACTGAGGCTGTAGACCCAGGACTGAGGCTGTAGACCCAGGACTGAGGATGTAGCTGTAGATCTAGGACTGAGACTGTAGACCCAGGACTGAGGCTGTAGACCCAGGACTGAGGCTGTAGACCCAGGACTGAGGCTGTAGACCCAGGACTGAGGCTGTAGACCCAGGACTGAGGCTGTAGATCCAGGACTGAGGCTGGGACCTTTTCAACATAAATCTCTGTCTCTCTCCCACATGCTTCAAACCTGCAGGAGAACAAAGTGGTGAGTGAACAATCCATGTTGTTTATGTTTTCTGCGTCATAGTAAAAGACCAACAATATATTTATGATTTAAAGTTAAAGCTGTGGTCTGTAACTGTCAGACCACAACAATAGGACTCTGTCCCTGCATATGTGTAGTTTTTTTCTCCTTTTCTCCTTCTGCTGCTGTTTTAAAAAATATGTAAAAGGATGGTTTATTGACTTATGGTATATGAGTGTGACATCACCACAGTGTGACATCACCACAGTGTGACATCACCACAGTATTTGCCTTAATGCAGAAGAAGTCGATTTGAACGTAGCTGGTGTCCTTTTCCGTACATGGGCATTTGTTCTGACACCGTTAGCGTCATGCAGTAACTGCATGACGCTAACGGTGGCAGACCTGTTGCTAAGAGGGTTGCTAAGGCCAGCTCGAGTTGCCCCTGAATGAAAGCCTCTGATTGGTCAGTCCTTATATGTTCATATCTGGAATTACAAAGACAATATCACATATAAACAGCAGGATCACAGAGAAACCATTGCTTTAGTCCTGCTTTAGGCCTGCTTTAGTCCTGCTTTAGTCCTGCTTAGTCCTGCTTTAGTCCTGCTCAGTCCTGCTTTAGTCCTGATTTTGTCCTGCTTAGTCCTGATTTAGTCCTGCTTTGTCCTGCTTTAGACCTGCTTAGTCCTGCTTTAGACCTGCTTAGTCCTGCTTTAGACCTTCTTAGTCCTGCTTTAGTCCTGCTTTAGTCCTGCTTAGTCCTGCTTTAGTCCTGATTTACTCCTGCTTAGTCCTGCTTAGTCCTGATTTTGTCCTGCTTAGTCCTGATTTAGTCCTGCTTTGTCCTGCTTTAGACCTGCTTAGTCCTGCTTTAGACCTTCTTAGTCCTGCTTTAGTCCTGCTTTAGTCCTGCTTAGTCCTGCTTTAGTCCTGCTTTAGTCCTGCTTTAATCCTGCTTTAGTCCTGCTTTAGTCCTGCTTAGTCCCGCTTTAGTCCTGGTTTAGTCCTGCTTTCGTCCTGCTTTAGTCCTGCTTCAGACCTGGTTTAGTCCTGGTTTAGTCCTGGTTTACTCCTGCTTTAGTCCTGCTTCAGACCTGGTTTAGTCCTGGTTTAGTCCTGGTTTAGTCCTGCTTTCGTCCTGCTCTAGCCCTGCTTTAGTCCTGGTTTAGTCCTGCTTTCGTCCTGCTCTAGCCCTGCTTTAGACCAGCTTCAAACGCAGCCGTATGAAGCATATCCATCACAGAGTACTGAGTTTGCCCCGGAAAAACCCCGGAACCTCTCGGCATTCAACCCGCCTTGCGACCTAAACCTCCACCTGTAAAAGCAGAAATTTAACTTACCCACAGTCCAGCACTCTCACGGCTCCGAAAGTAAAATCAGAGCCTGTCTAGATCAATGAAGCCCAGTAGAGAAGACGGTTGGTAAGGCAAGCGAGAGTTTCCCCACGAATGAAGGCCTCTGATTGGTCAATCCTTATATGGCTCATATCTGGATTTACAAAGACAATCTCTGTTCTGTAGAAAGTTGTGTTTGTGATTAATATGTTGGAAAGTGTCGGTATATCTCCACAAGGATGAGGAGCTTGTCTATTCTATTGTGATTCTGTGTGGTCTTTCTCTGGTCTCTCTCTCTGGTCTCTCTCTGGTCTCTTCCTCTGGTCTCTCTCTGGTCTCTCTCTGGTCTCTCTCTGGTCTCTCTCTGGTCTCTTCTTCTGGTCTCTCTCTGGTCTCTTCCACTGGTCTCTTTCTGGTCTCTCTCTGGTCTCTCTCTGGTCTCTTCCTCTGGTATCTCTGGTCTCTTCCACTGGTCTCTCTCTGGTCTCTCTCGCTGGTCTCTCTCTGGTCTCTCCCTGATCTCTCTCGCTGGTCTCTCTCTGATCTCTCTCGCTGGTCTCTCTCGCTGGTCTCGGTCTGGTCTCTCTCTGATCTCTCTCTGGTCTCTTTCTGATCTCTATCTGGTCTCTCTCTCTTGTTTCTCTCGCTGGTCTCACTCTGGTCCCTCTCTATTGTCTCTCTCTAGTCTATCTTGCTGGTCTCTCTCTGGACTTTCTCTGGTCTCTCTCTGGTCTCTCTCTTGTCTCTCTCTCTGGTCTCTCTCTGGTCTCTCTCTGGTCTCTTTCTTGTCTCTCTCGCTGGTCTCTCTCTGGTCTCTCTCTGGTCTCTCTCTCTAGTCTCTCTCTGGTCTCTCTCTTGTCTCTCTCTGGTCTCTCTCTGGTCTCTCTCTCTAGTCTCTCTCTGGTCTCTCTCTGGTCTCTCTCTAGTCTCTCTCTGGTCTCTCTCTTGTCTCTCTCTGGTCTCTCTCTGGTCTCTCTCTGGTCTCTCTCTCTAGTCTCTCTCTGGTCTCTCTCTGGTCTCTCTCTAGTCTCTCTCTGGTCTCTCTCTTGTCTCTCTCTGGTCTCTCTCTGGTCTCTCTCTAGTCTCTCTCTGGTCTCTCTCTTGTCTCTCTCTGGTCTCTCTCTGGTCTCTCTCTGGTCTCTCTCTCTAGTCTCCCTCTGGTCTCTCTCCTGTCTCACCCTCTGGTCTCTCTCTGACACGGGTCCAAACAACACGCTGAGTTCTCCCCCTGCGCAGTGTGAAGGTGCTTTTAGTCGGAGGTTGCATCAGTGTAACGAGTTTGAGAACACAGGGTTCATGACGAAGGAGCGGGTGTGTTTATTTATGGCCTGGGATGTGAGGCGGCTGTTACCATGGCTACATTCTGATCTCACCCGGGTGGAGACAGTGGAGCAGATGCACTAAACGAGCGCTCCTCCAGCTGCTGTGGCCTAGATTCAAGACTCCACTGGGGCTGTGCTCATGTGATGCTTTAGACCTGGTGTAGTCCGGCTGTAGGCCTGGTTTTGACCTGGTTTAGTCCTGATTTAGTCCTGCTTTAGTCCTGCTCTAGTCCCGGTGTAGTCCTGCTTTAGACTGGCTTTGGCCCTGGTTCAGTCCTGGTTTAGAACTGCTTTAGTACAGGTGTAGTCCTGCTTCAGTCCTGGTTTAAATACCCTTCTTCTATAATAATGTTTTTGTGTAATGGGGCTTTTGGAGTTCATATGCGTCTGCTTCATCCAACCCCTTTTCAGCGGCAGAAGTGACACTGTCCCATTGAATTTAGACGTCTGATGCTGATTGGATTGTAAAGCATTGTGTGTTTGTGGGGGTGATATTTGACCTGTATTTTAAATGGTAAAAGTCCTTGTAGAGCTAGCGGGGTTAGCACTGTCCACTGTACACAACCTCACACACTCTTTCTCACACGTATGTACTTTCTTCTAACAGACTGTTTGACTTTTACAAGACTCATTCTGTTGGGTTGCGCAAAACCTATTATTTTTTATATTAAAGACCTTATGACGGGTTTGATTTATTT